CCAAGGGGATTATTGAATCAAGTTGACAAGAAAATTTTACAAAGGCGTGAAGGAATTTAAGAATGGTTGCCAACCCAAAACTTTTTTTATTTTATATTTTAATGAAATTTACAACTGTATTACATGAAAAATACTACAAGTAAATGTGACATTGGTAACGTGTACAACATAGAGAGAAACAACCCATCGGTAGAACTCAAATTAAAGTTCTATATTAGAAGGTCCCGAGGCCATCTTCTTTTCAGACGCCTCGGAGGGTTATCAGGGATCGAGGAAGAAGCAAGGTTTGAAACGAGAGGGTTCGGATGGTTCTGAAGTTTGTTATGGAAGGATAGGTATCTGGAATGGGCCAAATCGGAAACATATGGAACATTAAGGTCTTTATGGATGATTTAACCCAAAACTAAAAATAAAGGGTCATGATGAGCAATGATAAAAAATCATGGAGGAATGGAGAATATATTTTATTTATTTATTAAATGTTTAACAATCACCCCTAAACATCATAGTACGAAACGGCCCCAGAGTAAGAAAGGTCAATAACAGTAATATGGAGCTTCCAGATTATGAAGATATTGTAGATGTAGTTGCCGCCCTGAAGAATAACCGAAGTCCTGATCTTGATAGTATAGATGCAAAGATGGTAAAGAATTAGGGAGAACCTTTACTAAAAGATATCTACAATTTAATAATGAAGATCTGGATTACAAAGCAGATGCCCTATTTTTTTTTTAAAATGGGAGAAAACAAACTGCAACAATTATAGAGGCATGTGATTGCTAAATGCGCAATACAAAGTTTTTGCAGTTGTTGGATAAAAAAATTTTTAATTTTGGTCCAAGAAGACTTCAGGTAAATACCAGTATGTTTTAGACCAGAAAAATGTTGGAAAAACATGTGAGTACCAAATAGAATTACATCACTGAAGACAATGATAAAATAATGAAATGTTGGAAGAACTGAAAACAATGATGATTGGTGGAAATAGATGCCATTTTGCCATGTGAAAAATTATAAATCCCTTTCTTATAGAACAAAGATCAGGGTATATGAGAAAGTTATAAGAGCCGTAGCCACCTATGCCTCTGAGACATGAGTGATTTCTAAGGCTTCAGAAATGAAGCTAGTCTTATGGGAGAGAAGGGTTCTCTGTGTTTGAACACAGGCAATGGAGAATTTGCACCAATGGGGTTATGAGAGACCTATGCAAGGCCATAAATCAGATGGTTGGGGTGTTGGGGTAGGGTCATGTGGTGCTTATGCCTGGAAAGTTCATTTACGAAGGCCTGCTCAAGAATCGACCTGGTGGAAGACGTCGCAGAAGACAACCACACCTGAGATGGCTGGACGAGACGGAGGACACTCTGAAGGATGAGAATCTAAAGGCGGCGAATGCTTGCATGGGATAGAGAGGGAAGGAAAATTATAAGAGAGGTTCACGTTCTTGCAGAATTGTAGCACCAAAAATAAATAAATAAACATTTTAAAACTTTTCTCAGAGAAAGACAATAAGTTGAATCATGTTCTGTGAAGTTCGACAACTATTGTTGCACACAATCCATTTGCTGTAGTAACATATTGTTGTTGAATTATTGGTGAGGGCTCCATGGACACAAAAAATGTAGGATTATCTGACTGATGGTCAGTGTCTGGAAATAAACATGATAAATTAGTTGATATTGATGACATTGTAGAAGTAGATGCCATTGTCGAATATTCTGGCTGAAACAGTAGTGATCAGGCCATTCTTCCTCTATAAAAATTTGCTGAAGAATGTTTCATACAAATAATTTTCTAGGTGCCAGAACATTCATTAAAAAAGGAAGTAATCTTGGCATAAACTAGTAATCACTGTTTTAATTCACAGCAACACTTTCTGTGAGAATCATAGAAATTCATACAAGTTCAAGCTATGGCTCATGGCTTTTTTTCCATATTTCTGGAATTAGATTTGATGGGATTACATAATTTCTAGCACATCACTACAGGAAGAAACAAAAGTAGAATGAGAACTTGGAGAATCTAGAAAAATCACTTTCACTATAGATAAATTTTCTGCTAAACTGATTTTATTTGGGAATTCATTGCTTTAAATTTGCAATGAACTAACTTTTAAAAATAACTAGCTAAGATTAATCATAAGTGTCAATTACTTCATCTTCTGATTTGTATTTTCTTCTGAAGGAATCATAAAACCATTGAAATTTTTTTTTCTTCTTTTACTGAAACATAAAGAAATATGTAGGAATGTTAATGACTTATTTAAAAATAAATGTGTACTAATCGGTGTTTTTAATAAAAGTAATAAAAAAAAATGGAAATGGTTTTCATGAGATATCCTCTCAAGTAGAAATTTTTGAAAGGAAGCAATACAAAGTTTTAAAAATGTTATATAGTGTTTTTAGTTATTTGGCTACTGGTTTTTTATTTGAGACATTGGAATATTACTTCAAAATTTCTGATATGATGATTAGGTATGTCATTAAGACGGCAAGTGCCGCAATGTGGGTTAATACCAGAGGTCTATAAATGCACTTACTGAAAAAAGCCAATTCTGTAACTACAGCTGAGCAGTTTTGAAATAGAAGAAAAATTATTAATTTTATCATCTGCATAGAAGAAAAACAAAAAACATTTCATTTTGGTAGTATATTCAGGAAGAACAAATAGTATTTCATAATCATTTTAAAGTAGTTTTTGGTATGGGTTATAGGTTATTAGGTTTTTATTTTATTTTTATTGATGTTGGTGTCTATAGCCAATAGAGCGATGATAGCATTTTCAGGCACTCAAGCTTTTATAAAAAAAAATTGAAATTGGGGCACTGACTACTCGTCAGCTCTCAACTGTTCCTGATATCACTTTTTCCCTCTTAACCTAAGTGACCTGCTAAAACCCTACTTGATGAGACTGTATTCTGAATTCAAACTTAGAAGATTAGAAACTGTGCTCAATAAATGACCCATAACAACTTTTCAATAAGTAGAATGGACCACAGCAGGGCAAATTTTATTTGAATAACAAATAAACAATAATGAATGAAAATTTATTTTAATTTCAATCACTAAAAATAATGAGATATTTATTCATAAGCAATTGAAAATTAACAAGAGTAATCTAACTTTATTTGTTATTCAATAAGCAATAATCACTGAATAAAAAACTATTCAGTGAAAATATTGGCTGTCCCAGGATACTCCCATGTCTCTCACAACTGCACTGAGTTAAGGTGGGTGGCTCTTCCCCTCCTTCCGAAGACAATATTTCCTAGGTACGTTCCTCTATCAAATCATCGTCCTTCTCATCCCTACAACCTTCTCCGATTGAAGTCCTCAGTTCATTCCCTTTTCACAAGATCTCGACCATCTAACCATGGTTCACATACCTTCTTACAGATCTGCTTCATTCCAAAACTCCTTTATTGCTCACTCTGTCAATTTTCGGAATTCCCTCCCTATAAAACTTCGGCATTCCCTCTCCATATTCACATTCGAAACCCTCCTATTCCAATTCATATACCAAAAACAGTCAGATAGTTGCTAACCATTCGACATTATACATTTATTTCATGCCGTTTATCATCAGATATTAATGCTATTCTTTTGCTAGAAACAGTAATTTTCCTATAGGGATAAGATTTTCCAGCTTCTGATGCTACTGAATGCATCTATTATTTGTTTATAACTATTATTTATTATAGACCATTAAATTCTTGCCTATCGTTACGTTAAGAAATGATGATAATGTTTATAAATTATTCAGCATTTAAATGATGATGATTTTATATATTACTCAGGCACTTTATATTGTCAAGTTCAGCTATTTTTTTTCCTTTCAACAGAAACACAGAGCTTAATTAAAGCAAGAATTTGATTTTTATTTTTTCTTTATTGTTTTCTTAAAAGTGTATATTTATACTGTTTTATCACTGTAAATAGTTTTAAGTGTTTTGTATATAGTTTTATTTGTTTTGTACATAGCATGTTTACCTAATATTTTCTTTATTTTTTTTTCTTTTATTTCTATTATTTTTATTTAGGCCAGATGTAACCTTTTAATTTTGTTATTCTCAAGGGACTTTGTCCCAGAATAAAGTTATTTTCTATCTATCTATCTAAACTAATAGAATTATTAGGTGCATTTGCTTCTTACATAAAATAACATAACAATTGATGGATGATTTACAATTTTTTTAAATTATAAACTTATTAATAACTGTGTAATTTAAATCCCATGTTAATATCTCACCATAAACATTTAGACTGATTGAATCCGAGGCCAGTGCTTCAGCATTGAACCAGATAAGTTGCTTAAACCTTAATATATCTCAAACTATTAATATTTAGAAAAATTATATCATAGTTTATATAATAACATGTAGATTTAATAATATATGTTTAGTAAAAATACTAATGTATATTATTAAGTTGGAATAGTTTTAAAATATCTTTATTAACTTACCTTGAGCACTTATTTCCTCAGGAACCGATGCTCAATTTCCTTACTATGTTCCAGCAATGGTAATTTTGCCAACATCACACAAGAGAGAGTGTTCAACAACAGCACTAATTAGTTTTTCAACATCTATGTTGGATTTTTTCATAAAAAAGGTAACACAAAAGTTAACTCTTTCTGTAGCACTATTCGGCCAAATAGGATCAAAATTCCCATATTCATCAGACTGACCTGCCGTTCAGGCCATTTTCCGTTGTGGCCTGATAGGGAGTTTATAGTTAATGCGTTTCAATGCTTTATCTATCTCTCGGGTCAAACATTGATACCTGGCAGTGCACAGCTAGATGAATATTCTGCCATTCACGGTTGTTGTGGGCAGATGATCTTAATCTGTATTTCTATGCATATAACATGGATTATAACTTGAATAATTTTTAGAAATCTTTGATACGAATGAATTGAACTGAATAAAGATTGATTATAAATAAAGCTGTCCAAAACCTTTATTACTTCAAATATTGATAAAAAGTGAAGAAAAAACTTACTTCTTGAAGATAAGTGTCTTGTTTTTTAGTAGATAGATTTAAATATCGTTCTTGACTTTGGCAAAATTTAGCCGTCTGCTTTTCAAATTTTTTCTTTCCTTCCTGCATAAAAAGGCTTGATTATTAATGAAAAAATAAAATAAAATAATCAATCAAAATCTGTAAGTAAAAAAATAACTTGCCTTAACTCCTCCTATGTGTTCCTTACGAAAGTTTTCAAGAGGAAGAATTATTTGTTCGTAAGCTCTATCCATCTAAGCAAAATCAAAACTTTTAATATAATTCCAAACATTTACAATTCTAAACCAAGCAAAAATTAATTATCCTCACCATTCTGTCCCTTTCATCTTCAATAGTTGCAATAAGACGACCAAATTCTCCAAAGGATTGAGAAATTACTTGTTCGTCATCAGTCTGTTCAGTAGTGCAATCAAAACTAAAATTCTGGAGAGTATTAGAAAGCGTTCTCTGAGCTCTGGACAAATCTGGAAAATAACATAAACATGATAAGTATATTCAATGCTAAAGATAAACAACAGTATAAACATTTCATATACCTTTATAAAATTACACAATATCATTTTAAAGACATTCAGTTATCATAACCAAGGTGTCTACTAATTGTGGTGATTGAAATTTCCAACCAACTCTCCACTTTTTCCGATCATTCCTAACTCTCTGCTACTTTTCAACTTTATACATGCCTACATACAGCTTTAGAGTTTAATTAATAAATTTGAATGTATTTTATCAGTTATTGGATCAAGCCATATGAAGTGGTCCGATTGGGATTGATCATTTTTAATTTTAATTTTCACTAACGTATAAATGAAATATATAGTAAAGGAAAGTATCGTGAAAATTTTTGAATCTCAGTTTTCAACAGAAATACACGTTTGGAGGTATCCTGAGTCGAAATAACCAAGTCCCACAAAATGGTCTGTGTGTGTGTGTTAACAGTCTAGCTCAAAAACGAAAAGTCGTATGAAAGTGAAATTGCATATTTAAGGGTTTTATATACAAGGGATGTAACGGGAACTTTTCGTCAAAATTGGCTAACCGAAAGTGGCATTTTATATAATGGACTAAACACATTTTTACGATTTTCTCGAAAACGGCTCTAACAATTTTGATTAAATTCATCATATCAGTGTAAAATTAAGCATTTTGAAATAAAATGTACTTTTTATTCTGATTGATGTTCTCTAACAGGGCTTAAATGGCTAATTTTCAATATTAGCTTCCCCTAAAGTACCTTTATTTTTTTTATTTGAAACAATTGACCATTTTACATTAATCTCTAATATAAAAGATAGTTAAATATAAAATATGAATGAATTTGATAATTAACTAAAAGAGAAATAAGAGATTGTAACGGAGAATAGTTGTAATTGAGGAAACAAAGGAATACGAGCGCACCCGAGCTTGCCCGAAAGATTAGAACACACTTCCATACGTAACATAAGCTTAATATAATACGAACTCCGACAATATAAATATACATATGTGGTTTTCATAAATGCTATGGGCCCAGCATTTATGAATAGCATTCATAAATGCTATTTCAAGAAATTCCTGAGGGGTAGGAAAAAAAAATAAATAAAAAAATAAATAAATGCTATTGTTATTATTTAATATTTAATTGTATAGATTACAGCGATAGAAATATTAAAATTTGTATAGATAAGGGTACTTATACAAATAAAAATATCCACAATGAAATATAAATAAATATAGAGTCTATAATTTTTACTTTCTCTTCCCCTTTGTCTGAAAATACTTATTTCTGATAAGAGGAGGGTGGTAAGTGAAAGCTGTGTGATGTGTGCACCGCACCAGATTTTTTTACCAATTACAAACATTTGTAATTGGTGTATTGTAATTTCGTAGGCTAATGTTTAGTTCTATAATCTTTTCTTTAATAATTAAATTTTATTGTTTTTTTTTTTTGTTTTCTTATAAATCTAATTTCTTGTTCATAATTTTCATTTCCTGTAACTGTTATTTAAGTCAATTGAAATAAGTAAATTCATCATCAGTATTAATAATAGACAGTTATATTTTCTTCTGTGTTTATTTTCAGGTTTTACGTAAATATCATATGTTTTTTTTAGAGGTTTAATAACAAATTGTAAAACCCTATTCGAGGAATTAGGGAAAATCAATACTAACCAACAGAGATGGGCATATTTATATTCATAAATGTAAATACGAATACCATTTATATTTATGGCTCTTTTGAATATAAATATGAATATATTTATATTCATAAAATGAAACATGAATACAGATGATAAGTATTCACAGCTGTAAATATAAATACGGCTACTTAAGGTCAGAGGTCAATTTCCTTAATTGACTTAAGTTTACACAATTAGGAACCTCCTAATTACATATTATATGTTTAATAAAATTATACGTTTATGTATTCATCATTTCGAGTTAGCAAATACCAAATTTTTAACATTATTTAAGAAATTTATTTAATAAACCTCTTACTGAGTTGTTCCCACCACCTTTATGCAGACGATTCACAAATATACCTATCCTTTTCTCCCCCTGAGCTATTGGTAGCATTTACTAAGATCCAAGCAGACCTAGATCGAATCTGTGCCTGGTCAAACTTAAACGGATTAAGGTTAAATGCTTCAAAAACTCAGGTCATTGTCATTGGTTCCAAGCCCCTCCTTAGATCCTATACCGACTTTCCCATACTAAACCTTGGTGACCAGCCAATCTTCTTCTACTCCTCTGTCAAAAATTTAGGACTATTTATTGATCAAACCCTCTCCTGGAATCACCACATTTCTCACATCTCCCGACGGACAATTTCTACCCTCAAACTATTCCATCGCTTCCACCATCTCCTACCTCAACATACGCATAGAGTCCTGGTTTCCTCTCTCATCTTCCCCCACTTTGACTACAGCTGTGTGGTGTATGATGGACTCTCGGTGGAGCTCCGTGACAGACTGAAAAGATTAATGAACAGTTGCGTGAGATTTGTAATTGGTGCCCCGAGATACTACCATGTCTCTCACCACTACACTGAGTTAGAGTGGCTCTTCCCCTCCATTTGAAGACAATATTTCCTAGGTACATTCCTCTATCATATCATCAATAATCATCGTCCTTCCTACGCCTACAACCTTCTCCAATTCAAGTCCTCAGTCCACTCCCTCTCCACAAGATCTCGACCTTCCGACCTTTACATTCCTTCTCACAGATCTGCCTCGTTCCAAAACTCCTTTATTGCTCGCTCTGTTAATTTTTGGAATTCCCTTTCTATCAAAATTCAACATTCTTCATCCCTATCTACATTCAAAACCCTCCTATTCCAATTACTGTCCCAAAAACAGGCAGATACCAGCTAACCTTTTATGTAAAATTACATATTATTTATAATAACATATTCACATATAGCTCATAACTTAAATACTTATTTTAGATTCGAATTTTTTTTTTTTTTTTCAACAGAAACACAGATTTTACTGTTAAGAAGAATTTAGATTTATTTTTTTCTGTATTTTTTATTTTTTCTAAAAGTGTTTATTTATATTTTACCATTGTATATAGTTTTAAGTATCTTGGTATGGTTTCAAGAGTTTTATATATAGATTTTTTTTTTTTTTTTTTTTTTGTATATAGTATGTATAACTAATATATATTTTTTTTTTACTGATTTATCTTTATCTTTACTTTTTATGTTTGTTTTTATTTGGCCAGATATAACATTTTAATTTTGTACTTTTTTGTTATTCTGAAGGGACTTCGTCCCAGAATAAAATTATTTTCTATTCTATTCTATTCTACTGTACAGAATTTTATTTCAATTTTTGTAAACTTTTTTTGTTTTATTTTGGAAAATATCAAAAGTAACAAATAAATTATTATTTATTTAATAAATAAGTTTCATTTATAAGCTTGCATTAAAATATTACCATTCACTTCTGTAAATTTAAGTGTATTCATTTTAATAAACGTGAATACAGCCTTATTCACTTGCACAATCAATCGGTCAAAACTTGTCATACTAATTGTAAGTGGATAATGTTGTGATTTTACAGATGGAAAATACGTCAAATTATTCACTAATTTGATTTCCTAAAATGTTACATGATTATTTTTTGAAATTGACCGACAATAGATATCTAACTATTTAAATATATTATCATATCTAGAGATATTAAATTATAGTAAATGTATCGAACATATAGACATATGTTTTACTCATCTATGCAATATTTTATATTTCACTTCTTCTTTAACACAAGTACAATGAAATAGTTTTTTTTAACAATATCATTGGCTTGATTCGGTGAATTTTATAAACTTTTTTTTCAAACTTAAAAATAATTTTAAAAGTTTATATTTAGTTAGGAAATTTCATTTCCAATGAAACATTTGGTTCCCATTATAAAACATTACTTTTCACAAATTATTATTTATAATTTTTTCTACATTTTCCATTACCTTCTACAACTTTGTATGTTAGATATTATTTTTTTCTAAAATTCTCAGCTTTCCAATGATATATTATACGTATAGAATCTGACTATTATTGTATTTACGGAAATTCATTTTCGACCTAAAAAAACATTTTTTTCTTTTTTATCCTTTAGTAAAGTATTAAATTCTATCACAGTTTATATTTATCCTTTTATTATTCCTGGTAACAATAAGAGATAGTTGATTATTCAAAATGAACCAAATTAAAGGTACTTTAGGGAAAGAAATTTTGAAAATTGGACATGTAAGCCCTGTTAAGCAGCATCAACGGGATAAAACCTATGTGATAATTAACACCATTCATTTATACATTAATACACCAAGTTTAATGAAAATCGTTAGTGCCGTTTTTGAGAAAATTGTGAAAATTAATGGTATAAAATGCCACTTCTGGTTAGCTAGCAAACTAGCAAAAAGTTGCTGCAACATCCCAGCCATATATCTTAAATATGTAATTTCATTATCGTACTTTTCATTTTTGAGCTAGACTGTTAACATACACAAACATTTTGTAGGACTTGGTTATTTCAATGGGCTCAAGAGACTTTAAAATGTGTTTTTCCATTGAAAACTCGGATTCGAAATTTTTCACAATCTAGTACTTTCCCTTACTATATATTACATATATAGGAAAGTGAAAGTAAAAAGAGCAAGGGATTTTTCTTTTTTCTTTGACTGCTCATAAATTACACCAATGTTTCTTCAGTTCCACGGGGTAATTTCAGTAATCAGTAAATGTAACCATTTTCAGTTTTGTCAATAGTTCAGAAACTATGACTGATAAAGAAAAAAAAAAAAAAAACAACATTCAAGTTAATGATTTAATAAAAAATCTTATTCTCAAATCATTTAATTTATTCCTACTTCTAACATGATAAAAATTGATATAAAGTTTAATGCTAAAATTATTAATATATAGTTAACTGTAGCAGATATATTGAAGAGAAGCTGGTTAGAGTTTGGGTTTTCAGTCAGT